TGAATAATTTAGAAATTGGACATTGCTGCGAGTGGTTTATATAGGTGCCCCAAAGACAGAACCAGGATATCAATATTAAAGAGTCACTATTTTCTGTACTTTGATCATGAACAACCAAAAGCTCAGACCTATCTGCTGTTTGTAGTCTTACATTCTCTCCTGAGTTGGAAATTCTCTTTTGTGCCTGGGCACTTGATTGGCTTTTCAGTAATTGTGCGCAGGTGCTCATTCCCTGCCATCGTTGTTCAGGCTACGTGAAATTACCTCCCGAGAAGTTTGCACCGAAGAAACAGGGTGATGGTGGTAAGGATCTCCCCACAGAAGCAAAGAAGCTTCAGCTGAACTCTGCGGAGGAGCTCTACGCTGAGATCCGAGATAAGAACTTCAACGCGGTGGGCTCTGTGCTTAGCAAGAAAGCGAAGGTCATCTCTGCAGCGTTTGAGGTGAGGCAAATTTTTGTTGTCATCCTGCAACTCTAGGTTTCGGCTAGATGGCCACCCCCGAGGACAGCAAGAGTTCCGGAAATACGCAGCCAATAAGCAGGGCTTCAGCTTCAGTGCACCTTTCCTCATCCTCGGTAACTACAAATTCAGTATTGAAAGACCCATGGCTTTTTTCATTTTAAACTTTTTCCCAAACCCATGACAAAGGTGTTGTGTAAAGTTTTTCTCCTTTTTTGTGGGGGCAGGGGTAAGACAGGGGCACAGGTGTTTGCAGTTAATACACTTTCCTCCTAAACATTTGCTTTATCTTCTTTTAAATTGTTTCCTACCTGACTTAAGAGGAAGCCAACTGTACAATAAATAAAAGACCCTCTGTAATAGAACTTGCCGTTCATGGTGAGAACTCCAAGTTTAACCACCGTGTCCGGGGCAGGGGCCCCCTGCATGTGCGGTGGGTGATAATGAGATCGAAATCCCCAGCCAGCCCAGAGCTTCTAAACTGCTGGTTTCATTATCACCTGCTTGCCGCCGCTTGCCCGTTCACCGGTTTATTCTTGGGTAAGCGCCTTTTGAAATGTGCGAATTCAGTGAGATGATAAACTCTGGATATTTAGACTTTGGAAACATAAATTGGAAGTGTTTTTGAGGACTAATTTTTCTCTGAGCATGAAGTTCCAGATTTTATCTTTCTTAGGAATTGTATTCATGAATTGATTTTCCTATTTCTGAAGTCACTTTTGGTTTAAATTATTAAATTTTGCCAAAAAACATTCTCATACTAAGCCGGCTTCACTTTGCTCATGGAGCGTGCTCAAGACTGAGGTTCAGTGGCAAGAGTGGAATTTTTTCTGTTACACAGGAAGCTCTTTAGTGTGCATGTTCCCTTCTAAGCATAATTTTTTGTCTTAGTATTTTATCCAGAAATTTGTATGGTTTACCTAATACTGTCCTCCACTGATACTCGCATGTCCACAAAATACCGACACAGCGTGAGCTGGCGCGTAGGAAGAGCGCTCTTAGGCATTTGCCCTCTACGGAAGAGCTAATTCGGGAGCCGGCACCGCGAGCGCTGCCTTTAGTGATGCACTGTCTTTTCTGGTTTTCTGTGTCATGCTGGAGCTGGCTTTGGCCCGATTTGTTTGCATTTCTTTCTGTCGCATTAATAGAAATCAGACATCCTCTGCACAATACAAGGAGCAGAGCACCTAAAATAAAAAGTATCTTCCCGCCAACGTGCTGCTCTCGCCCCTTTCAGGAAAGGCACAACGCGAAAACAGTCGGGGAGATCAAGCAGTTTGTTTCCCAGCTGCCGCACATGCAGGCGGCGAGGGGCTCCCTGGCGAACCACACCTCGATCGCGGAGTTAGTCAAAGACGTCACTAGTGAGTATCCTTTGCAGTGACTATGTCCGTCTGGGGCTGACCGGGGCACAGTTTCCGGCACCACTGTCGTCAGCACCGAGATGCCTCCTCGGGAGAGTCGGCTCTAGTTTCATACCACATACTGTTCTCAACCTTAAGTGAGTGTACGCACGTCAGTAGTTAGGAATGTTCCATTTGTGCTTAGCTCAGTCTTTTCATTATTAATCATACGACAAAATATGTGGAATACAGATAGGAGGAGAAACTGACCCCTACGTTTGCCATCACAACATGAGGTAGTTAACTTTTGTAGTCCAGTTTTCTTCCTCTTGTGGAGGATTACTTAACTGGAGCAATGTCATGTTTCTGTTTGTTTTGTTTTTCCTTTTAAAATTTTCTGTAGAATTGGTACCGAGAGCATATGTTGAAAATTTTCAAAGAGTTGAGAAAATGTCTATTAAAACAAACGTGAGTTTCTTCATTAAAACATGGGGCTGCTGGCCGGGCGTGGCGGCTCATGCCTGTAATCCCAGCACTTTTGGAGGCTGAGGCGGGAGAGTGGCTTGAGCTCAGGAGTTCGAGACCAGCCTGAGCAAGAGTGAGACCCTGTGTCTACCATAAAGAAAGAAAAAAAACCCCAGCCGGGCCTTGCAGCTGTCGCTTGTAGTCCCAGCTACTCAGGAAGCTGAGGCCGAAGGATCACTTAGAGCCCAGGAGTTGGAGGTTGCAATGAGCTACAGTGATGCCACTGCACTCTAACCAGAGCGACAGAGTGAGACTCTACCTCAACAAAAAAAAAGCAAGGCAATTGAATACTCTTCCTCACAACCTCCCACCCTTTTTTTAAAAAAAGAAAAAAAGTTAAAAAAAACAAA